ATATAGACATTGGACCTATTGAATACAATTTTAAAATGATGAGTCGTTTTATACCTAAGGACATATGCGTGATATTGTGTAACATAATTATTATGAACAACATTAATCAGTGAATTAGACATCATCCAATCAAAATTACTGAAAATAATGGTTTTATTTTTAGGTTTAACGACAAAGTCTGTAGGCAGCGGCTTGGCTCTGCCCCTGGCATTGCTGAAGTCCATGGGCGACGGTAACCACTCACCATCAGGTGGGCCGTATGCTCGTCTGCCTACAAGGGCAATAAAAAAAAAAAAAAAAAAAAAGGGAAAGTCTTTTACCGAGCGAGTGGAATTGCTCGGTAGACCAACCGTCCGAATGTTGTTAGAGCTTGTAAATATGCAATCTAATCTTGAAAATGTCGTCAGCGGGATTCAGGCATCCGTCAAATATCTTGTGTTCTGTGATGGCTCCCTGATAGATAGTTTTGTTACCTACAGAGTGATTACAGGCGTCAGCGGATATACATATATGCATAGTCTGATTACCGCCGAGTGGAAATCCGCCGAGTTACTGCATTTCCAATTTGAACAGCAGGATAGTCTCATGGTCGATTGAAACTTTGCGTGGTCTGGTCTGACAGCGACGCTACGAGGTTTGAGTTAGATTCGCATCAGACTCGGTATTGTTAGGATCTTTGGCATTGGGATCTCGTAATGTTGACGGCACAAATAGAACATAAGGCAATCTTAGGGTAACTAAGCGTGGAACGCTTCTCTTTTAATACGCTTTTATTAGCTTCAGACGTATGTGTAACGGAATCTTTGAACATGCTTTTGACCCCCTTCAAAACGTCGGATTAACTCGAAATTTGGTATACTTGTTAAGAACCGATGACAATTCAATATTCAAAAAAAATTTGAAAAAATTGAAATTCAGCTAAAAAAAAAATTAATAATAGTTTAAAAAAACTAACAAAATACGCCTTTATAGAAAATCCAACTAAAAAATAGAAAATAAATTTTAATAAATTTGAATTAAAAATAGTGTAAGAAAAATTATGTTAGTTATAAATATTTTATGAACAGATATGAGTAGAAGGCGTATTTTGATAATATCCTGAACAGCACCCCACGATTTTTACAACAAAATATTTTTTTCTTATACTATTTTTTATTCAAATTCATTAAAATTTATTTTCTATTTTTTAGTTGGATTTTCTATAAAAGCGTATTCTGTTAGTTTTTTTGAACTATTATTTTTATTTCTAGCCTATGTTGGTAATCGCCCGCCTTCACTAGAGCTTATCAGAGTCACGTATTTAAAAAACAGTAAAATTGGTATAATAATGATTGGTGTGCTATAAACACGCTACTTTAATAAGAAGACAGTAAACACTTCCAACGTGTTCGATCGTGAATGTAACAAATAAATATTTACAGAATATTATTCCGTGATATAAAGGGGATCAGACAGCTGTCAGCACTACGGCGGCCATCTTGTATCGATTTTAATCAATCATTCGTGCAATTCAATATTCTTTTGTTGTATTTTTTTATTTTTTGTACTCATCCACCATTATCTCTGTTCCAACCGCTAAGGCCGCTTGGTTTGAAGGGTAGGAAAACATCCTTAACCGTCGAACCGAAATAATATTTCAAATTATACTTAGTAACTAAACTATACTAAACTGTGACCTTAGAACTCATATCTCAAGGTGGGTGACAGCATTTATGCTGTAGATGTTTATGGCCTCCAGTAACAGCTTAACACCAGGTGAGTCGTGAGTTCGTCCATCCATCTACGCAGTAAAAATAAAAAAAATATTGTCGTCGGAATTTCGATACGTGTGCAAATTTTCAAATTGATCTGATGTGTGAAGTTGGTATCATAATTACGTTGAAACTACATATTATTATAAACAGGTCAAGACAATAAAACATATAAATTTAGCACTGGAAATATTTACATTAAAAACAACTCAAATATCGAACAGTGCTACACATACCCTATGTGCACTTTTATAACTTATAACACTAGGTATAGCACTTTTAATGAGTTCTCGACTCCAACAGAGATATTTAAAAAAAAGGATCAAAAAGGAAAATGTGTTTAATTTTCTTTACTGTCCTCCCCATTTCCAAGAGCAATCAATTGAACGTTGCAGATGGAACAATCCAGCCGCTACCACCGTACGATTGGAACTTCGAAGGTGTCTTCGACTTCAAAGTGGCAAGCGATTATCATCATTCTCCTGCCCTGCTCCCAGTCACCCGGGGTCAGCGCAACACATTTTCTCCTTCCATACTCCTCTATCATATACCATTTCTTCGCTCATTTCCCTCCTATACAAATCGTCTTTCATGCACTCCATCCATATATTCTTAGGTCTACCTCTTCCTCTAAAGCCTTCCAAAACGATCTTCAATGTTAATAGACACATACTGAGATGTGTTAACTTCTATAACTCATAATTTTCCTCCAATCAAACAAATGTCAGTCTGGACTAACGGAGTTCTCTGTTGAATGAGATCTAGTTATTATCATTTGAATTTCTTGCTCTCTCATTTTTCAGATAGCGCAGTCTGTCGGCGACATGAAACGATTTAGATCTCACATTTTTCGTTAAATTCTCAATTATTAACTGCACGTTCTACAATGTGATGTGGCGGAAAATGGAAATGAATTGGAAAAGGAATGGAATTACTACGAGTAGTGCAGCGCGACGATTATTATCTAGAAATAATGTTTCATGTGCTGTAAAAAGTAAAAGTTGATTTTCAGGAAGCTTTCGCGCACAGTACGTCTTAATTAAAACATATTTACGTTTAAGCTTTTGAACTTTACGTTTAAATTCAAAATTTCGAAATTTGACAAATTTTTCACACATTTTATAGACACAGTCCACTGAGTATCTCGCTGGATCTGCTCAGTGGATCGCGATTCCGATCCGGTGGTAGATTTTGCTCTTGCTAAGAGCTAGTGTTAGAAAATTCTGTTTAGTTGAGCCCGTGAGCTCACCTATCCGTCTGAGTTTAGCTGGAATAGCTTCCTAGCCTCCTAGCCAGCGAATAGATAGGGGGAAAAAATAAAAAACAAACTAAATATTTCAACGTGATCTTACCAGCTAGTACTAATCGCTTCTGATCTAAAAAAACTAATCAGATCATTCACACATATAAATATAATTAAATTAAATTAAATTAAATTACAACATAATATATCCTTATCAAAGTATTTAATAAATAAATCGATTGTGTACGGTACTCAAGGCGGTCAACACGGATCGCTTATATACTGGGGCCGCGGCGACGTGTGGTATCTTCAGTGGGTTGGGTTCCAGCTCGCTCGGTCAAGGAACTAGCCAGAATGTTGATCTTGTACACCGCGAGCCTGCTCTGTCTGGGATTGGTGTCCGCCAAGCCTGAACGTAAGTGTCCTGTTGCTTTATACGCTTTTATTAACTCGCCCTGAATGACTTATTCTTAAAGCATTTTTTTTGACGTGACAACGTCTTATAATTCGATGGAGCCGGCTGCACGCACGAAAAAACATGACTCATGCGGCGTTACCTCGCTCTGAGGCGTTCCATTTAAGGCTTGAAGTGCAAGCGAGAGCGCGCAACGAGCGACAAAGAGGCACAATCGCGTCCGCGTTCGGCAGCGTTCGACATCTGTCTCTCTCCTACTTGAGTGAGCGATGCATCCGCGTGGACAGCTGCTATACAATAATACATTTACATGTTTTCGTCAAGTATGAAGTTCAGTGAAAAGTGAATGTGGTGTCAATTGTTTATAGCAACGATAATTGCGATAATTGAAAAATGAAACCATTCAATTAGTATTTTCTTATGACGTTGTCACGTTCAACTATCGTCAGTAAGCCGACTTTACAGACAACCGATTTTTTTAATGCTTAGATGGGAGAATGAGCTCTTTTGTTTTTTTCCTACCTAAGCTCTCTCGTATTCCTGTATAGGAACCGGCGAGGACGACCCAGAAAATTGACGTGTTTGTTAGCTGTTACGCTGCTACAAACATCTTGGGAAAATCCAACCTAAAATATTCACTAATATATCACTTTCCAAGTATATATTTTGTTTATTGTATGTATATATTTTCTATAATAATGTATTATTTATAGTACATAGCAACATACCTGCTATATTTTTATAACGGTTGTCTGGAAGAGATCGCTTTTAGCCGCCTATTGTACCGCCAACATTCACCGCCTATTGTACAAATGTATTTGCTTTTTTGATTGTTTTTTGAATGTAAATTGTGTTTTGGTGTGCAATAAACTGTATTCTCTGTCTCTCTGTCTCTCTCTCTCTCAATTATAAAATATTACAGTGTTGATTCAATAAAGAATAATTTAATGCTCTTAATGGTTTTTTCTCTATTACAGCGACAGCAGAAATAATTGAAGAAATTCTAGATGATCGTTTCAGCGGTAAATAGTTTTGATTAATGTATGATTTTATTGTATATGTATCAGTAATCAATCAATCATTACATTACCTTCTTTCACACTCTCTTATGTTGTTACATAAGAATAATATGTATAAGTTCATGATTTACATAAAAAACAATTTGACGATTGAATCGAATGTATTTATTTATTTAATAATCACTCCATAGTCCTGCTCAGAATTATCGGTCTAGTTTTTTATTTATTACGTAGATGCATGGACGAGTTCACAGCCCACCTGGTGTTAAGTGGTTACCGGAGCCCATGGACATCTACAACGTAAATGGCTACTCACCTTGAGATATAAGTTCTAAGATCTCAAGTATAGTTACAACGGCTGTCCCACCCTTCAAACCGAAACGCATTACTACTTCACGGCAGAAATAGGCGGGTGGTGGTACCTACCCGCGCGGACTCACAAGTGGTCCTACCACCAGTATAAAACTACTAGAACTAGTGTGATGTTGGAGTAACTGTAAATCCTTATACTTCCAGGAGTCAATGTGGCTGGCAGCTTCGTGGGGCGGCCATCAGTGGGCCCGTGTCTAACAATGCCTTTTTACCATTGTGAGTATTGTAATCCCATGCCTTCAGAAGGTTAATAGAGAGATTCAAATCTGATTTATACAATACGATAACAGTTGTCTGGCCGTACGTTTGTATGTAGTCGGGTCTGACGGATGGAAATACCTTTGATAGCATACAATTAGCTATTTAGTTTTGAGTTTGAAAGTCATTAACGATATATCGGGAGCTTGTCTGTCCAATTAGAGAAAAAAAAAACAATTAGTAACGAAATATAAAATATTTTTTTATCTTGTATTGTCTGTTTTGAAATATATTTAATTTTGTTTGAGTAATAAAAACTGCGGTCTTCTGAAATATATCAATGATTAAATGTTAATTTATTTTTAGGTCCATCAATAGGTATGCCAGGTCCGTACCCACTACCGATGCCATCAAAACCAGTTATCGTGCACGTACCGGTACCATCCCCCCCTCAAAGAATTATAGTACCTGGTCCATCAATACCTGTTCCAATACCGATAGAGAAGAAAGTGCCGTACCCCGTGCCCGTAAATCGACCTTACCCGGTTGCGTTACCTCCGATTCCCGTACCTTACCCGGTTAATCGATACATTCCTATTCCAGGTAGAGATAGGTTGGTACCGGTCCCCGTGCCATATTCTGGTAAGTAGGCTAAAGGTATTATTGTAAAAAAAAAAAGTATTGGCCGTTGTATACTACTTATCACTATAATCTGACATAGTCATCGCACCTGTTAATGTCACTATTGGAAATCATTTAAGAGCAAGTTTACGAAACAAACGACAGCCCACTTATGCCACTTTTGTTTTGCAGACACGAAGTTCTATCCGGTGCCAGTAATTATTTACGTCTGTGAGTAAAATGTTTTTAACTGATTNAAAAAAAATTGTATTGGCCGTTGTATACTACTTATCACTATAATCTGACATAGTCATCGCACCTGTTAATGTCACTATTGGAAATCATTTAAGAGCAAGTTTACGAAACAAACGACAGCCCACTTATGCCACTTTTGTTTTGCAGACACGAAGTTCTATCCGGTGCCAGTAATTATTTACGTCTGTGAGTAAAATGTTTTTAACTGATTTCACTTTTAAATATCAGCTCACATTCTGGTAATTTTCTAATGTCAAAATTTATGGAGATAGCCCTTTTTAAATGAGTTCAATTAAGAATGAAATACCCCTTGTTTGGTATGAGGCGATTAAGCTGCGAAGTCACTAAAGTAGTTTTATATTTCAGCTCCAGTATGCAGATATCGTCCACCTCTGTTACCATTCTGGTTGCCAGGAAATAGATGTATGAGCGTTTGCAAGGTCAAATATAACTATGTGTACTTGGAAACTCAGCCGCAGTGCAGTAAGTACGACCTTAAATAAGTAATATCTTCGTTTCTTTTCTTACTTTGTTGTGAATAATAATAAGAGTAATTTCAGCGCATGGCGGTCTATGGAATAACAGGGATTACTATGGTCATATCAACGGTTTTGGACAAGGACTGGTTGGAAGCTGGTCGGCTGCTGATGCTATGGGACAAGCACAGACTGGTTATAACGGAATAGGAGGTTTTGGTAGTTGGTCTGGTGCTGATGCAGTAGCACAGACGCAGCCTGGAGCCACAGGCAGTTTGAGAGGTTATGGAAGTTGGTCAACCACTGACAGCCTAACAGCACAAACCGGTGGAATCGGTGGCACTATCGGAGGCGCGATCGGGGGTGCAATCAGTGGAGGTATTGGGGGCTTAGGAGGCTTTGGTGCATGGTCTGGAGCCGACTCTATTGCTCAAGCACAGGCTAATGCGCTTAGTGGTGGTATTGGTAGTGGTATCGCTGGTTTGGGTGGCTTTGGAGGATGGTCTGGGTCAGATGCATATGCCCAAGCACATAGCGGTACACTCGGTGGGGGTATTAGTGGGTTGGGTGGTTTTGGCGGCTGGACTGGAACCGATGCTCTTGCTCAAGCACATGGCGGTTTGACAGGTTTTGGAAGTTGGTCTAATGCTGATGCAATGGCACAAGCCCAAAGCGGTACCATTGGAGGGTTGGGAAGTTTTGGAAGCTGGTCTGGAGCTGATGCATTGGCCCAAGCTAACTCCATGGGAATGGGTGGTTGGTCAGGTGCAGATGCTATGGCCCAAGCTAACAGCATTAATGGGATCGGCGGGTATGGAGGCTGGTCCAGTGCAGATGCTATGGCACAAGCACAAGCTGGCTCAATAGGATTTGGAGGATGGCCAAGTGCCGACCCTTTTGGCCCGGTAAACGGTATTGGAGGTTACAGTGACAGCTGGCCTAATGGAATGGTCCAAAATCAATCGGGCTATGGAAGCTTAGGAACTATTATTCGTACGAGATCTGGAGCCGACTCTGACAATCGAAAGAGAAGAAGCACAGATTTTTACTCAGCCCTGAAGCCAGCTATTCAGTCTCAGACGAACTCTGAGAAACACAAATGATTCTCGTAAGTCCTGCTGTTATATCACTTGTTACCAATATTGTGAGTGGCCCTCTTGAATTTCCTAATTAATTTTAATTCGAAACTTTAAAAACTAAGAGATGTATCCGCGATTAGATTTTTATATAAACTTGTAAAGACCTCACGTATAAAAAAAACTCAAATGATATACGGACACCAAAAATATGCAGTAGCGTCTGAAAAATGAAGCAAAGTCGATATCCATTTTGAGAGCTACTTCTGTTCAAGTATAGTTCTAAAAAGCGATGTTATATGCTAACATTGACCTGGCAATGATTCGACAAATAGATGTAGACAGGTTCGTTTCAATATGGCTTATGCGCTTTTAATACTCACATGTGATGTACTTTAGTTTAACTCTGAGTTATATTCGGACTGATGATAATCTTATCGGCGCGGTTTATTTGAAAACATATGGCTAGTTTTCATAATTATTTGCCTTGTACCATATGGATTCAGTGTTAAGTGGGCTGGGCTCTATAAATTATTTGAGACAATCCCGCGATTTCAATGGCAAGCCGTTGCACCACCTGCAATCCGAACTGTGTTAATCTCAATTCGATCAGATATAAAATAATGGGTAAAGCTGACGACTATGAGCCATAGGCACTTATGGCCACTTAGGCTGCAGTATAACAAATTTAATCACATTGTTACTAAAGTTCTTACAATTTTCAGAAAACCTGCAAAACATCAAAGAAATTACATGATGATCTCGAAGCGGCTTGGAAACCTGGACAATGATTTTTATGTGTTTTAACGAAGCATTAGAAAAGACTGATCGCACTTTGATATATATATAAATAAAGCATTTAGTGGGAATATTTGTTTTTTTTTATTTGAATCTCGACATATCGGCAGCTCGTGCTTACCTTATTGTATATGGTTAAAATTTATATGTGTCTCTGCACTATTGGATATATGCCTCTATATACCCTAATACATCTAGCCTCTGAATCCAATTTCTACTCAGCCGTCGCGTCAGATCATTCGTCTCATTAAACGCGCCTGCAAATGATTAATCAGCTTTCAGGTTTTATATAGTTAAGAGTTAGACCACACATCTTAAAGTGAATAACGGCATTACGTCGTGATATAAAGCTCTAGGCAAGCAAATAGCCAGATAGTACCCATAGTTATATATAGTAATATAGAACAAAAAAAGAAAACCAAAAGGATTGTATTACAACATATTTTACAATACAAAATTTTGAAAAACCATAGACTTTAATTAAAAAACCGATTTAAGATTTCTGAACAACCATAAATTTGATAACGCCTCCGCGCTGATAAGCCCGAACTTTTGGACATACAGAGACTGTATATGACCTCACGTTACTTACTGGATTGTGGAAGCACACGAGTTATAGTTAGAGCTTAATATAAATTGAGCTTTAATTATTCCCTCAGCTTTACTTTATCTAATTTATATGATTGATCAGTGAATTCCACGTCACCAATAAACAATCAGAAACAAAACATTTTATGACTATAACTGATCAATTTGAATGGCTGCTTAATAAATCATTCACTTTTAAAATAAATCAAGTAAAATATGCGATAGCGATAGATGAAAATCGTTACAAATAAATAGAAAAGTTTCATGTCATAAATTTACAAACGGATAATCGACCTTATTGTGATAGTGGTGAGAGTCATTTTCCTCTTCAGTTTGTGGTTGACAATTGATTAAGTGTTTTTGAATTTAACACATCGATATTGATATAAATAGGCTGATTTTTTAGATGCAGTTCATTTAGTCTAAGGTAGTGAAGTCTAAATTATGAAGGAGCTTACGGCTAGAAGCTTTTGCTTCCTGGCTATCCTTTTTATGTGTGAAACTAAAGATATTCCTGATGATCATAGCTTTGGTAAGATACCGTTTCAGTTTTATAAACATAACATTAAGATATATTAATACGTGAAGCAAAAACTTTGTATCCCTTTTTACGAAAATTGCGCGGACCGAGGAGTATGAAAATTTCCACACTTATAGAGAATATAGAGAAGAAGTGTATAATGCTAATATCTTTTTAAAATAATGCATAATAGATACATTAAATCAATAAAGAAAACATTACACACACTACATACCATGTATTTGACGCACACACGCATGCATACTATTTATTGTCAAAATTTTGTTCTTGACGTCTGTGGTCAAATTGAGATTAAATATTATTTGTCTTTGTTAATATTTTTTATAGTATAGTCTTGGCGAAATTTGTGATTATAGAAGTATAAAATACAATCATAATGGTGTACAAACTTACAATTCTAATTAACTATAGTCGAATTTCGACTACTGCGGGACCTCTAGTTAAGACTTAATTGTTCATGAGCACTCACGGTATGTAGTTTATTTATACGAAAACGGTACAGCTTATTTAGTTAAATATAGGGTTTTATATAATTAGCTTAAAAACAGGATTATTGCGTCTTACGTCGGACCATACGTAATGCACATTAGGAACATGCGAATCCCAAAATTTTCGCACATCTCAAATCCATCCATTTAAAATTAATAAAAAAATATTGCTTCTATAAAGAATAACCGGAGATAGGAATGAAAATCGGTACCAGTATACCTTACTATATTTTACGCAGATTTATACCGAATATACGTTTATATTTCCATTAACTGTACGATTTACAGGAGATGACAATAGTTCAGGGACGTTCTCCGAAAGATCCGGATTCAACAAACTGGGTGAGTTTTCCGGTATGACTGACCATTAAAGTGGTTAGTCAATTTAGTGTTAGGCGATTGCCAGAGTTTATGGATACACTACATCGTGCTTACTGCGACCATCTGTTACTCATAAAAGTGGAAGCTAAGCTGTGCTAAAATTACTCAAAAACCTTCGAATTGGAATGCAATGAGCCAGAAATAGAGGGTGTATCGAGTAAGGCTAGAATGAGGGAGGCAGACCAAAATTTTAGAGTCAGGTTTATAACTTATGTAATTTTTTTCGAAATAATAAGTTTAGTAATAATAAGTTTATTCAGCTTTTTACTGGTGGTAGGACATGTTGTAGTTGTGAGTCCGCACGGGTACGTACCACCACTCCGCTTATTTCTACCGTGAAGCAGTAATGCGTTTCGGTTTGAAGGATGGGGCAGCCGTTGTGACTATACTGAGACCTTAGAACTTATATCTCAAGGTGGGTGGCGCATTTACGTTGTAGATGTCTAAGGGCTCCAGTAACCACTTAACACCAGGTCGTCCACTCATCTGTACAATAAAAAAAGTACATAATATTTAATAAATAGAGGAATTGAATGTAGGTATTTTTCACAATTTCTATTAAATAGTATAGTAATATAATAAATAATATTAAAATACCATGAGAACAGTAAGAATCACTGCTTTAAAAAATATATATTAACATTGACAATCGCCAGTCTACATTTGCTTCTTAAGCAATTTGTAAAAATAAGTATTTTGTTTATTTTTTTCGTAATAACCTTCATAACACTTACACAGGCTCTCCATTAGCTGAAGTCTTGAGAGATTCAAAATTATTTGAGTTCGACTCACCAATAATCGACCCAAACCTCAACAACGAAGATATAGACGCAGGAGAAAATGGCTTAAGAATTGGAAGCCTTAGTCCGACTAGGACTCCTGAAAAGATTGAAAACATCAAACAAGTGATCGATGACTTGAAATCTAAACTAATTGGTACTTTATCTTTTGAAGCAGAACAGGCTCAAGAAAAAGCTGCAGCGGGAGCTGGACAGTACATATCTTACTATTACGGATCGACAGCATCAGAACCTCAGCTCCACAATAATGATCTCCTCACGCACTCAAAGACCGACGAAACACAATATACTGTAATGCTGAATAATCCATCCTCAAAAGCTGAACAATCCAACCCTGAAGTTCCTTCAGCAGTACTTTATTCTCTTGGCAAAAAACAAGGTGTTCAATTTTCAAATGCAGTCAATAATTTAGGAACAAATGTTGATCAATTTCAAAAAGATAACTCACATTTTTTTAATAATCATGGCGTTAAAGCCGAATCTAACTTAATAAATAATATTGGGCTTGCTTCTGATCAACCAAGGGAACCATCAAGATCAAAGGTATATGCAATAGGAGCTAATAGTGGCATACAGTATCCTAGTACTTTTAATAATTTTGCGACAAATATTGAAAATTCTGATAATGAATTATTGTCAGCAATCCATACTTCAATCGGTACTCAATATCCAAACTTTATCGGCAATTCAGGACCCAATATTGATAAACTGAACAAGGAAATGTCACCTAATAAACTTTATTCCTTTGGCACTAATACCGGAACTCAATATTCCAATCTAATCAGCAATTTAGGCTCCAATACTGATCCATTTAGTAAAGAGTACTCATCAGCAATACTCAATTCTATGAACACAAATGTTGGTACCCAATATCCAAATTTAATAAATAATTTGGGATCAAACACGGATAAGGCGAATAGAGAATTAACAGCAATTATTCATGGAGCTAATACGGGAGCTCTATATTCTAATATGATCAGTAATTTAGGACCTAATGCTGACCAATCAAATCAAGGTTTAACATTAGCCATTCTAAGCTCTCTTCCAACTTCACAGCCTCGTTTAGGCAGCAATTTAGGATTAAATACTGACCAAGCTCAGAAAAAATCGTCATCAGGAGTGCTTCACTCTGCAGTTGAAAATTCCGACACTCTATATTCTAATAAAATCAGTGAAATAGGATCGAAATCAGATCAGTCTAAGCACGAATTGTTAACAACACTACTTCATGATCTCGGTATTACTACTGGGAGCCAGTATAATAATTTGATCAGAAATTTAGCGGCCGATCAGTCTAATAAGGAAATCCCACCAGCTGTAATATATTCTACTGATTTAAATTCTGGACAGACACATATGGACTCCAATCCACGTTACAGCCATCTTCTTCAGCAGTCATCTCCTGGTTTTAACACTGGATCCAAAAACCATTTGAATTCTGTTTTGAACAGTGCTTTTGAAAAAGGATATACACTTCACAATGGTGAAAATTTACAAAGCGTAAGTCCTCATTACCATGCAACAAGTACACAAGGAGATGGCTTAAATCTTATCAGCAAAAATCCTTCCACTTCACAAACATTATTTGAAAGTGGTAGTTACATCCCCGGCTTACAGCAAGCAGCCAACATGCAGAATATTAAACCCAACTATTTCACTCAAGATAATCTATCAAAATATATAGTCTCTTCATCTCCAACGTATGTTGATAAAATTCCCAATCACGAAGAAGATAAAGTACTGATCTCACCGTCGGCCAAAACCCAACCAACACAACGTAAGTACCACCGCAACCATGTAGATTATTTTACTTTAAAGACGCTGGCCTGAGATTTACTGAGTAAAAGCCACAACTTGAATGCTATATTTTCGAGAAAAGGCAACAAATAGCCTACTAGGTCGCAGTAGAAAAGTCGCCGGTTTTTTTTTAAATAGACAACTAACTAAAACTTAAAAGCGCATCCATTCGTTATTTTAATAATGTCAAAATTCCATATCTCGTGACCAAAATTCATGTTATGGCCCACAAAGTCACAGAATTTTGGCACATGTCCATTTTCGAATCAGCGACTACGAGGGTGACAGCAACGCTTCGCTTCATGAGCACGTTAACTATGTTCCCCCGCAGTAAATATTATTAACTGTAATCAATTGTGTCGTTAATGCCATGTATTTATTTATAAAAGCACTCATCTCGGTCGTTGCCAATGCGGGTTATCATAATAATATAGTTTCCAATATTGAAAACTTATTAATTTATTTTACATTTTTTGGACGTTTGTTTCCACAGAATCTTATTTGAGATTGATATCAGCCAATGAATACATCATGCCTCATTTGATACAAGGTAAGTTTTTGATATGTGTGGTAGTTTATATGAGTTTAATTTTTACATTTAAATTTGGCACTATACAAACACATTCCATGAAAAGTGGAATGAAAAGAGATTGTAGATTCTCACATCGCTCCCCCTTCTTTGATAATCAAGGATCAGTCACTATTTTAAGGATAAATGCTTTTTTCATAACTGACTTTTAAATTGACAGTATACAAAAACTAAAATATATGAATCAATCACAAATAAATGCTAAACCAATTTTCAACGTGTAACTACTCCCTTTAATTTATTACTGAACAGTTGCAGAACTGTAAATAAATACTCGCACTCAACAGCATCCACTTTTCCAGATATCAAAAGCAAAATAACCTGTCAAAAAGAAGGGGAGATATACAAACTTTGGACGCCGATGTATCAGTGCCTTGTTTGTGCCTGCATCAACAGTGCCGGAGTCGTGCATCCAGTCTGTACTAAATGTGATGGGTGTACAACTGCTGGTAGCGAACCAGTTGTCTCGACCACATCACCAGCTCCTATCCAAGAAGGTACGAGTGTTTGACTTGAACATGACGTATGGCATTGACGTGAATGACGTTGTAATTAGCAAAATAAATCTAATCTTGAATCGAGACATTTCTTGTTTTTACCACAGTTTGGGACACATTTTGATTTTTATAACTCAAAATAAAAATCTCTGTACCTATAAATCTATGAAGACAACTTGAACATTTTAATAGCTACAAGTTCTGCTTTTAAGATACTCATAATGACGTATGCTCTCTCTGTGTTATCTAAGCTAATCAGTAATCACTCTTGATTACAGTGACATGCAGTCCACTACCTCAAGGTTATGTCTTCGAAAATCCCTTGAACCCGTGCCAGGTTTGCATTTGTGTGGAGACCATCGATGCTGACGGACGTGTTAATGCTCAGATCAAATGTCAAGAAAATTTTGAATGTGGTATCTTAACTTTCAAGAAATATTCTAACGGCTTATATGTCTGCTCATATTTCTGTTCTCTGCTGTGAACGCACGGTCAAGCTCATTATAAGGAATTACTGCGACCCGTAGGCGGTGTTAATGCCGCTGCACATGCTAAGATTAAAGGTCGAATTGAATCAATTGCAAAGCCTATCTCGTTATAACTGTAATGTTGTTTGTAGTCTGTCCAGGTGGGCTTTTTTATTTTTTATTGCATAGATAGGTGGACGAGCTCACAGCCCACCTGATGTTAAGTGGTTACCAGAACCCATAGACACCTAAAAGGTAAATGCCGCCACCCACCTTGAAATATGAATTCTAAGGTTTCAGTATAGTTACAACGGCCCTTCAAACCGAAACACATTACCGCTTCACGGCAGAAATAGGTAGGGCGGTGGTACCTACTCGTGCGGATTCATAAGAGGTCCTACCACCAGTTACGGCTGTTAGCTTGAACAGTGTATTATAATGGACGTAAGTTATATGCCTTGTCAGTATAGGCTAAAGACTACAGTAAAATGACTAAACTATCTCGTGCCGATGATATTGTTCCTGTGAAATATTTAAAATTTCACTTTTTATAAATTATGTTCATTTATAAAAAAAAATTAAAATTTAAAACTAAAATTATCTCATCGTCTTACTAAAAGTAACAACAAAATTAACTTAAATTACGAAGAATATCTACAACGTAGCTAAGACCATGAAGCTTAGATACTAATTAAATACGAATTAATTAAGGTTTTTAATTGAAAAGGAAATTACCAATATTTTAATTGCCATATGTTTTTCAGTTTTAAAACCGGAATCTACATTACGTAAGTACTGCAGTACACGATAAGTTTTCACTACTACAAGCCCCAAACACGCGGCAAGTACAACTAGTGCCTTGACAGTATCGGGTCTATATCCTTTTCATTTGTTATAAATAAGTTTTAAAATACCGTGACAAATTTCCGCTATATATCAGATTAATTTTGGCTTGAAACTTCTAACAGTTCTTGGGACGAAGCTGTCGTAAGTGTCAGACAAACTTACTAGAAGAGTTCTGTATTTCCAGTTTGAGTATCAGCACCTTCCACAGACAACAAACTTCACAAACTTGGGGCTTGTTGTTTTTATATTTGATGTACTAAAAAGGGAGAGAGAGAGAATAACAATTCGGACTCTGTAGACGTTTCGAATCTATTTAATTATGTATTGGATGTAGATAGTTGATTTAGCGTCAATTCTGACACATTTAGATATCAAGTGGATATTTCCCCCCTCTTTTTTTAAAATTATGTAAATTTCGGTAAAAATAGTGATGGTCCAATTACCCAAGGGACTCTTAAATGATATGAAATTAAACATGAATATTAACTAACGAAACAAATTAATCTTTTAGAGTTGACTTGTTATAGTTTTTGATATATGTCAATGAGCAGATGATGGATAAAGTCTTAGTTGCAGTTGAATAACGGCTATCCAGGACAGAACATGTGATTGCTTCGTGTCCCATATATTCACTTTTTTTTTTTTAGTTTTGAATGACTATTACTATTTTTTTAAATTTATGTTCAATTGTTAACAAAACGTTAATTCAGTTAGACATTAACTGTAATCAACCTACTGGAAGTAAACACTTCGCTGAGTCGAGTGAATGTCAAAATCAGAGTTGTTCAGTTCTGAGGATGGCTTCTGCACAGAATTGTCATACTGATTCACTGGATACATAAAAATTTATAGAGTTAACAGCTGCATAGAGAGGTCATCGGTCTCTACATTTTATGCTTCACTTTTTATTTTTAATAAAATTTCAATGAATAACAAGCATCAGCATTCACTGAAATAAGGATTTCGATAAAGAAGGTCTCTATTAGTTATTTAGATTCGATTTTTGTTTAGAGGTAAAATAAACCAACCAAATGCTCAGATTTTTTATTTATTGAGATTTTACCAACTCTTTGCCTTTTAATTATTTAACTTCGTGTTTCTGTTTGCAGCTACTATTCCTGATGTGCCATTTCCAACTCCATGTGAGTATCTATTTACGCTTTCAATCATTAAATACCATCCATGTGCACTATCAAACACAAAACCACCACAAAGAGGCTGTGTATATCGCTACATATAAAAATACTTTAAACAACTTAACAAACTTGACGGCCGTCTGGTGTAGTGGTAAGTGACATGGTCACTACACAAGGGAGTCGCGGGTTCGAATCCCGTCAAGGGAAGATATTTGTATGATAAATATAAATGCCTTTTCCAGGGTTATGGATGTATATTAAATATATGTATGTGTATAATAAAAATCTTACATTTATTTCCGTTATCTGGTACCTGTAACACAAGTTCCTTACGAACTTATCATGGGATTAGATAAAGTGTGGTTTATAAAAAAAAAAGGTTCTGTATCATTCATTATAATTGCGCTACATGAAACAATAGAGATTAATTTATATTATCAAAAAAGAAACAACTTAAACCGCGTCAGCTTACGACCAAAGTACTATCCAATTAACTTTCGTTTATTTAACAATATTTGCTTTAATTAACGAGAAGAATTGTGCACGGAAAATTCGTACGTGGGATTCTGGAAACCTTTTATGTAATTAACAAAATTGTATACGAGTTTTGAAGTTTTAGTAGCTTCAAACATGTTATTATCATGTCATGCAATTATACGTACATGTCATGTAACTCCCTTAAAACTGTTCTATTTATTTATTACTAGCGACCCGCTCTCGCTTCGCTTCGGAAACTGTCATTTCTTATTGATTTCTCCACTATTTAATGGATTTTATTATACATATAAACCTTCCTCTTCAATCACTCTATCTATTAAAAAAAACCGCATCAAAATCCGATGCGTAGTTTTTTTTTTTTTTTTCCTACCTAAGCTGAGAGCCTTGAGAGGCTATATCAGCGTAACCCTAACTTTTGTAGGTGAGCTCACGGGGCTCAAACCTGATGACGTTGCTAACACGAACCCTAGCAAGAGCCGTGCTTCGCAGAATCTACCACCGGATCGGAAACGCGACCCACTGAGAAGATCCGGCGAGAAACTCAGTGGAATTAGTTGTGTGGCTATTGCTGGATGTGGTGAGTAAATACTTGTATTGCGTATCAATAATTTGGTGACAAGCAATCATGCCCAACTGTGACTGCATCTGAAGAATTAACTGACCAAAAAAACGTTTGTAGCCCAAGTGATCGTGAGAGTTTGCTATATTGACCTAATGAAAATCTTATTAATGGTCATTGAACATTTGTATTACTCGCTTCAGTGTTTGAGGTATAAGCAGTTAAATCTTAAAACTAGCATGTGCTAATTGCGTGTCTCAATTTCCCCAGTGACCCAACGCCCGTCAACGCTGTCACCGGTTCCAGAGCTTCCCAGAGTGACGTCCACCATCGCTGACAGTGTGCCTACGAGTAAGTTTAGATCAATTAATAAAAATTCATAATTAAATTCGGTAATCGAATAAGCTAATTAATTTAACATAATACGCTTTGGGGCCCATT